AGCCAAACAGTGAGGTTATTTGGAGCCAAACAGTGAGGTTATTTGGAGCCAAACAGTGAGGTTATTTGGAGCCAAACAGTGCGGTTATTTGGAGCCAAACAGTGCGGTTATTTGGAGCCAAACAGTGAGGTTATTTGGAGCCAAACAGTGAGGTTATTTGGAGCCAAACAGTGAGGTTATTTGGAGCCAAACAGTGAGGTTATTTGGAGCCAAACAGTGAGGTTATTTCGAGCCAAACAGTGAGGTTATTTGGAGCCAAACTGTGAGGTTATTTGGAGCCAAACAGTGAGGTTATTTGGAGCCAAACAGTGCGGTTATTTGGAGCCAAACAGTGAGGTTATTTGGAGCCAAACAGTGCGGTTATTTGGAGCCAAACAGTGAGGTTATTTGGAGCCAAACAGTGAGGTTATTTGGAGCCAAACAGTGAGGTTATTTGGAGCCAAACAGTGAGGTTATTTGGAGCCAAACAGTGAGGTTATTTGGAGCCAAACAGTGAGGTTATTTGGAGCCAAACAGTGCGGTTATTTGGAGCCAAACAGTGCGGTTATTTGGAGCCAAACAGTGCGGTTATTTGGAGCCAAACAGTGAGGTTATTTGGAGCCAAACAGTGAGGTTATTTGGAGCCAAACAGTGCGGTTATTTGGAGCCAAACAGTGAGGTTATTTGGAGCCAAACAGTGAGGTTATTTGGAGCCAAACAGTGAGGTTATTTGGAGCCAAACAGTGAGGTTGTTTGGAGCCAAACAGTGAGGTTATTTGGAGCCAAACAGTGAGGTTATTTGGAGCCAAACAGTGAGGTTATTTGGAGCCAAACAGTGAGGTTATTTGGAGCCAAACAGTGAGGTTATTTGGAGCCAAACAGTGAGGTTATTTGGAGCCAAACAGTGAGGTTATTTGGAGCCAAACAGTGAGGTTATTTGGAGCCAAACAGTGAGGTTATTTGGAGCCAAACAGTGAGGTTATTTGGAGCCAAACAGTGCGGTTATTTGGAGCCAAACAGTGAGGTTATTTGGAGCCAAACAGTGAGGTTATTTGGAGCCAAACAGTGAGGTTATTTGAGCCAAACAGTGAGGTTATTTGGAGCCAAACAGTGCGGTTATTTGGAGCCAAACAGTGAGGTTATTTGGAGCCAAACAGTGAGGTTATTTGGAGCCAAACAGTGCGATTATTTGGAGCCAAACAGTGAGGTTATTTGGAGCCAAACAGTGAGGTTATTTGGAGCCAAACAGTGAGGTTATTTGGAGCCAAACAGTGAGGTTATTTGGAGCCAAACAGTGAGGTTATTTGGAGCCAAACAGTGCGGTTATTTGGAGCCAAACAGTGCGGTTATTTGGAGCCAAACAGTGAGGTTATTTGGAGCCAAACAGTGAGGTTATTTGGAGCCAAACAGTGAGGTTATTTGGAGCCAAACAGTGCGGTTATTTGGAGCCAAACAGTGCGGTTATTTGGAGCCAAACAGTGCGGTTATTTGGAGCCAAACAGTGAGGTTATTTGGAGCCAAACAGTGAGGTTATTTGGAGCCAAACAGTGCAGTTATTTGGAGCCAAACAGTGAGGTTATTTGGAGCCAAACAGTGAGGTTATTTGGAGCCAAACAGTGAGGTTATTTGGAGCCAAACAGTGAGGTTATTTGGAGCCAAACAGTGAGGTTATTTGGAGCCAAACAGTGAGGTTATTTGGAGCCAAACAGTGCGGTTATTTGGAGCCAAACAGTGAGGTTATTTGGAGCCAAACAGTGAGGTTATTTGGAGCCAAACAGTGCGGTTATTTGGAGCCAAACAGTGAGGTTATTTGGAGCCAAACAGTGAGGTTATTTGGAGCCAAACAGTGAGGTTATTTGGAGCCAAACAGTGAGGTTATTTGGAGCCAAACAGTGCGGTTATTTGGAGCCAAACAGTGAGGTTATTTGGAGCCAAACAGTGAGGTTATTTGGAGCCAAACAGTGCGGTTATTTGGAGCCAAACAGTGAGGTTATTTGGAGCCAAACAGTGAGGTTATTTGGAGCCAAACAGTGAGGTTATTTGGAGCCAAACAGTGAGGTTATTTGGAGCCAAACAGTGAGGTTATTTGGAGCCAAACAGTGAGGTTATTTGGAGCCAAACAGTGCGGTTATTTGGAGCCAAACAGTGCGGTTATTTGGAGCCAAACAGTGAGGTTATTTGGAGCCAAACAGTGAGGTTATTTGGAGCCAAACAGTGAGGTTATTTGGAGCCAAACAGTGCGGTTATTTGGAGCCAAACAGTGCGGTTATTTGGAGCCAAACAGTGCGGTTATTTGGAGCCAAACAGTGAGGTTATTTGGAGCCAAACAGTGAGGTTATTTGGAGCCAAACAGTGCGGTTATTTGGAGCCAAACAGTGAGGTTATCTGGAGCCAAACAGTGAGGTTATTTGGAGCCAAACAGTGAGGTTATTTGGAGCCAAACAGTGAGGTTATTTGGAGCCAAACAGTGAGGTTATTTGGAGCCAAACAGTGAGGTTATTTGGAGCCAAACAGTGCGGTTATTTGGAGCCAAACAGTGCGGTTATTTGGAGCCAAACAGTGAGGTATTTGGAGCCAAACAGTGAGGTTATTTGGAGCCAAACAGTGAGGTTATTTGGAGCCAAACAGTGAGGTTATTTGGAGCCAAACAGTGAGGTTATTTGGAGCCAAACAGTGAGGTTATTTGGAGCCAAACAGTGAGGTTATTTGGAGCCAAACAGTGAGGTTATTTGGAGCCAAACAGTGCGGTTATTTGGAGCCAAACAGTGAGGTTATTTGGAGCCAAACAGTGAGGTTATTTGGAGCCAAACAGTGAGGTTATTTGGAGCCAAACAGTGCGGTTATTTGGAGCCAAACAGTGAGGTTATTTGGAGCCAAACAGTGAGGTTATTTGGAGCCAAACAGTGCGGTTATTTGGAGCCAAACAGTGAGGTTATTTGGAGCCAAACAGTGAGGTTATTTGGAGCCAAACAGTGAGGTTATTTGGAGCCAAACAGTGAGGTTATTTGGAGCCAAACAGTGAGGTTATTTGGAGCCAAACAGTGAGGTTATTTGGAGCCAAACAGTGAGGTTATTTGGAGCCAAACAGTGAGGTTATTTGGAGCCAAACAGTGAGGTTATTTTGGAGCCAAACAGTGCGGTTATTTGGAGCCAAACAGTGCGGTTATTTGGAGCCAAACAGTGAGGTTATTTGGAGCCAAACAGTGAGGTTATTTGGAGCCAAACAGTGAGGTTATTTGGAGCCAAACAGTGCGGTTATTTGGAGCCAAACAGTGCGGTTATTTGGAGCCAAACAGTGCGGTTATTTGGAGCCAAACAGTGAGGTTATTTGGAGCCAAACAGTGAGGTTATTTGGAGCCAAACAGTGCAGTTATTTGGAGCCAAACAGTGAGGTTATTTGGAGCCAAACAGTGAGGTTATTTGGAGCCAAACAGTGAGGTTATTTGGAGCCAAACAGTGAGGTTATTTGGAGCCAAACAGTGAGGTTATTTGGAGCCAAACAGTGAGGTTATTTGGAGCCAAACAGTGCGGTTATTTGGAGCCAAACAGTGAGGTTATTTGGAGCCAAACAGTGAGGTTATTTGGAGCCAAAACAGTGCGGTTATTTGGAGCCAAACAGTGAGGTTATTTGGAGCCAAACAGTGAGGTTATTTGGAGCCAAACAGTGAGGTTATTTGGAGCCAAACAGTGAGGTTATTTGGAGCCAAACAGTGCGGTTATTTGGAGCCAAACAGTGAGGTTATTTGGAGCCAAACAGTGAGGTTATTTGGAGCCAAACAGTGCGGTTATTTGGAGCCAAACAGTGAGGTTATTTGGAGCCAAACAGTGAGGTTATTTGGAGCCAAACAGTGAGGTTATTTGGAGCCAAACAGTGAGGTTATTTGGAGCCAAACAGTGAGGTTATTTGGAGCCAAACAGTGAGGTTATTTGGAGCCAAACAGTGCGGTTATTTGGAGCCAAACAGTGCGGTTATTTGGAGCCAAACAGTGAGGTTATTTGGAGCCAAACAGTGAGGTTATTTGGAGCCAAACAGTGAGGTTATTTGGAGCCAAACAGTGCGGTTATTTGGAGCCAAACAGTGCGGTTATTTGGAGCCAAACAGTGCGGTTATTTGGAGCCAAACAGTTGAGGTTATTTGGAGCCAAACAGTGAGGTTATTTGGAGCCAAACAGTGCGGTTATTTGGAGCCAAACAGTGAGGTTATCTGGAGCCAAACAGTGAGGTTATTTGGAGCCAAACAGTGAGGTTATTTGGAGCCAAACAGTGAGGTTATTTGGAGCCAAACAGTGAGGTTATTTGGAGCCAAACAGTGAGGTTATTTGGAGCCAAACAGTGCGGTTATTTGGAGCCAAACAGTGCGGTATTTGGAGCCAAACAGTGAGGTTATTTGGAGCCAAACAGTGAGGTTATTTGGAGCCAAACAGTGAGGTTATTTGGAGCCAAACAGTGAGGTTATTTGGAGCCAAACAGTGAGGTTATTTGGAGCCAAACAGTGAGGTTATTTGGAGCCAAACAGTGAGGTTATTTGGAGCCAAACAGTGAGGTTATTTGGAGCCAAACAGTGCGGTTATTTGGAGCCAAACAGTGAGGTTATTTGGAGCCAAACAGTGAGGTTATTTGGAGCCAAACAGTGAGGTTATTTGGAGCCAAACAGTGCGGTTATTTGGAGCCAAACAGTGAGGTTATTTGGAGCCAAACAGTGAGGTTATTTGGAGCCAAACAGTGCGGTTATTTGGAGCCAAACAGTGAGGTTATTTGGAGCCAAACAGTGAGGTTATTTGGAGCCAAACAGTGAGGTTATTTGGAGCCAAACAGTGAGGTTATTTGGAGCCAAACAGTGAGGTTATTTGGAGCCAAACAGTGAGGTTATTTGGAGCCAAACAGTGCGGTTATTTGGAGCCAAACAGTGAGGTTATTTGGAGCCAAACAGTGAGGTTATTTGGAGCCAAACAGTGAGGTTATTTGGAGCCAAACAAGAAGCCAAACAGCCAAGCGGTGGTGAGAGGTGGTGGCACACATGGTCATGTAACATGGCATGGGACACGGAGGTGGGTGTTTGTGCTGGGTTCAGCTGGGACACGGACGTGGGACACGTGACCCACGTCTGTGCGCCCACCCGTGCAAGCCGCCTCATTCCACTCAGTCCGTTAAAAGGCTGAGAGATTGAACAAGCTGAGCCGCGGGTGAGGTGAGTGGTGGGTTGGGTTGACCCACCGGGGTGCAGCGCGGAGAGCAGGGGGGTGCGGGAGGGAGCGTCCTGCAGGATGGCGTGCACCAGGTCCGCATCGTTGCTGCGCGCCGCCTCCCCCAGCCGCAGCACGCGCTTCAAATTGATGCCCTCGCCAACCCCCCCGCCCCCGCCCCCATTCTCCCGCGCCCCCGCCAGCCCTGTGCCATCCCGTCCCAACCCCATGGCGCCCCCCCCCAGCCCCGTGGCCCCGTGCCGCAGGTCCAGTAGGTCGTCCGTGTCAAACAGGCGACTGCCGTTCACTGCCAAGCTGTTGACACGTGGCAGCATGGCATTGGTGGCGAGTATGTCGGCTTCATCGAACCCTGATGACTGCAGGGGGCGAGGTTCGAGGGAGAGAGGGGAAGGTTGGGAGAGCAGAGGGTAGAGAGGAGGCAGCGTGAGGTGAGGGGCAGACGCACACACGGTGGCTCGTCACTGTGCCAGCACAGCACAGCACAGCCAAGGCAACGCAGCCCCTCTCACACGCACTCACTCTCACTCCACCATCCAACCATTTTCTCCTTGCCTTACTTGCTCATACATATCCTCTCGCCACACTCACAGACCCCTCGCAACAGTCACGTCACAGCCACCCACAGTGCGGTCCAGGCCGAGCCGCTGCGCGCCCAACAGGTGCCGCCCGCCGCCCGCCCCGCTGCTGCTGCTGCTGCTGCTCAGGTCCGCCGCCTGGTGGCTCAGCGTGCGCGCCCACACCCTGCCGCCGCCCCCAACGCCACTCCTGCTCGCGCCCACGCCCATGCCGCCGTGCCCTCCCACCACTCCGCTCACGCTCCCCTGCACCCTGCGCGCCCCTTCTTCGAACGAGCCCCCCATGGCCAAGCCTCCCCCCAACCTGCCCCTGCCCTCATGCCGCCTTCCGCCTTCCCCCAGCGCCCCGAATCCCCCCCTCTCCGCGTCCAGCGCGTGCAGATGCCCCACATCGCGCCCCGCCAGCTGCGCGTGCCCCCGTAAGCCGCCCCGCGCGTCCTCCGCGCCCTCGTCGAAGAAGTCCCCGAGCGGCCCTCCGCCAAGCCCGCTGTCGTGCGGCGAGAGGCCGTGCGGGGAGAGGCTGTGCGGCGAAAGGCTCAGCCCCGCAGCGACGGCGCGCTGGTGCTGCGCGCCCTGCGCGAAGCGCGCCGCTCCCCCTCCCCCGTCGTCGCGCAGGCCGTGGCTGTGCGGGCGGAGCGACGAGGTGGGCCCCGCCTGGTACGATACGTGGCGGGGGGCGCTCGCGCCGTGCTGCTGCTGCTGGTGGGGATGCGCGTGTCGCGGGGAGTGGTGACGGTGGCGCGGCAGCGACGCGGGCGGGGTGACGGCGTGGCGGAAAGGGTCGTCGGAGTCGAGCGAGTCGTACGCCGCGCGGAGGGCAGCGGGGACGGCGCTGCTGTGGCTGCGGGGGAAGTTGCGCGGAAAGTCGCGGGAGGGGCTCACGTTGCCGTCGCCGTCGAGCGTGGCGACGGGGAACGTGCCCGAGCGATGCATGGCGACGCGCGGGGCGAGAGCCAATCAAATGCGCGTCACCGCGAGGTGGGAGCAAATGGCGGCATGGCGGCCAATGAGAATCCCGTCACCCGGGCCTGCCGCTCCCCCTCCCTCACTCGCCACCCGCGCGGCGCTCTGCGGCCCCACCGCCGAGGTACCGTCGCCGCCAGCTGTCGCGTGGTCGGCCGGCCGGGAGGAGGAAAGTGCGGCGCGGCGGTGGAGAAAAGGGCTCGAGCGCAGTACCCTAGATCGCAAGTATTGAGAAATTCCGCGTGTGAAGACGACACAGAGCTTGTCGATAAGGCTGGCTGCACGAATCCTACAGAAGCAACTCGCTTGTGCTGGCGACACCAGAACCAGTCAGCAAAGCGCGGCGCACAAGACGAGAATTTGACGGGAGAAAAATGAAGAGCTGTGCGTGCAAGTGGTGCGCGAAAGAGCAGAGCAGCGCGCAGCAAGCGGAGGAAGCGACGGGCCGGGGAGGGAGCTGCGGGCAGCGAGCGGCGAGGAAGCAGCGTTGGCGGGAGCTACAGTGGTGCGTCTGGTTAGGGTTCACGACAGAACGTGGGGTTCGTTCCTGGCGAACGTGAGAAGCGGGCTTTTGTTACGGGTGCAATTGAACGAACAGGCGAGGCCTGCACTAAAAGGGCTGGAGTTAACACGAAATAGTGTAAGGAAATTTCTTGGATTCTTACCACGCACCGCCACAACGCGTCTATTGCTCAATCGTTCTTCGCCCGTTACAGCCCCTGAATTTATGCCAGCCGAACTGGGCCAGCCCCTGAGAAAACCACGTGTCGTGAGAAAAGACGCTGCTAGGCGCTCCACCATGTGTCGTAGGTAAGCACATGGTAAGGGCGCGTCCTCTCCCTCGATCGATCGTGAGATCGCCGTGAAAAAACGACCGGGCACACCGATCGCAGGATCAGGGTAGAATTGGAGGGAGGTGACAACAGCTTTGTGATCGCGGATCGATTTCGAGCCCATCGATCGTCAAAAAGCCCCGATCGGATTGGGCACGGCACCACATCGATCGTCATCGGCGGAGGTGACAAGATCGTAAGGCACTATTTACTGTTTATTCGCAAGCCATCTCGAAAACAAGGTACCCTGTTATTGCGAATCTACAATCTTACTGTAGCTGACCCTCGATCGATCGAGGGCAGGATCGATCGAGGTAGGGGACGCGCCCTAAGTGGCAAAGCAGCGGCATGTACAGCTCCGTTTCTCGACGCAGAAGCCCAACGAGTCGGTTACAGTGATTACACGCGTGCGCCAACGCCTCGCGCGCCCGCGCGTGAAACAGCACTAACCGTGCCAGGTTGCTTTCTATCTCGGGGCCCGCCACCTCTCACTCCCGTCTCTCCACCCATCGCGGCCTCCCCTCGCCTCCCCTTTCGGAACCTCGTCCCGCAGTCTCGCAAGCCCCGCGACCTCTCTTTTGCACGCGCGACGAACGCTCGAATCATTGGGGCCACCCGCACGGTAGTCGTCACCACGCCCGCCCTCTCGCACACGCCCACCCCACCCGATCACTCTCGCCTCTCCCGCACTCTCACAGTCGCCCCGCACGCTCTCCTACTCGCGCGCACGCCGCACTAGCCGCTGCGGTCGCACGAGAGATCGTGACGCGCAGCATCTCACACCGCCGCGTCCATATCGCGCGCACCATCTGCGGCGCCGAGCTCACCCTCACGAACCGCCGCGTCCGTTAACGCACGCACCCCGCGCTCGCCCGCGGGCCTCGTCACGAGGTCCGCCCGCCCTCTCACACTCGCCACGCCTCCCCACGCACCCTTCCTCCTAAACCCCTGCTTTCCATTCCCACTTTCAACCCTCACCGCCTCTTTTCCTTCATTTCCCTTTCCCTACCTTCGAATTTCCATGGTTAGTTTTCTCATGCCTTCCCTGCCATTCCCTCCCCTTCTAACCCAATCCTTCCTTTCCCTGCTCCCTGCCCTTCCCTCCCCCTCCCTGCCCCCTCCCCGTGTTTCCACTTCCCCACCGTTCCCTTCCCCGCCCTCCCGTCTCGTACCCTTATAGCCAGCGCCACTCCGCTGCTGCGAGTGCGAGGGAGGGAGGGCGCGGGGAGGCGTGAGCATGGCGGCGCACGACTAGAACCCGGGCTTCTCTCACCAGGTGACTCTCCCCATTCCAACCCTTCCCTTCCACCCTTCTCCTTCTGTCCCTTTCCTTCCATTCCCGTCTGAATTGTTTTACCCTCTTCCTGTCCAAACTGTGCTCTTCCCATTCAGCCACGATAGTGACCGTTAAATTGTGTCACTGCTGTCATAACAGCATGTCCGCCTGATTGTCCAGCCAGGCCCTCGTTTCAGCCGCGAGTTGGGAAAGAGCAATCATGGCAACGCCAGTCGTAGGGGCCGCGGCGCAAGTGGGAGCGAGTGGGGGCGCAACGGCAGCGAGGGCGGCGGACGCGGAGAGGGCGCAACTGGTGCAGCAGCTGAACCTGGTGGGCGTGCGCGCACGCGTGGCGGAGCTGCAGGGCAGCATCGCGCGCGTCATGGGCGCCTTCCACGAGCAGCACGTGCACCTCAAATGGTCAGTCGCCGCCCCTCCCCCCCCCGCATGGAGCACAGACCCTTGCTCCATGTGATCACGGCGATGCACTCCTCCGTTGGGCGCGTGTGATGGCCCACTGCCACCTGTTGCTGCGCGTCCGCTGCTGCTGCGCGCCATAGGCCATGGTTGGGAGGGGGGGACGATGGGCCATGGTTGGGAGGGGGGGGGACGATGGGCCATGGTTGGGAGGGGGGGGACGATGGGCCATGGTTGGGAGGGGGGGGTACGATGGGCCATGGTTGGGGAGGGGGGGGACGATGGGCCATGGTTGGGAGGGGGGGAACGATGGACCATGGTTGGGAGGGGGGGGGGGGGGGGGGACGATGGGCCATGGTGGGGGGGGGTGCGGGTGGCAGCAGGTGTGGAGGTGCAGCTGGGTGCGAACGGGCAGGCTGCGTGTCCCTTGGAGGCTGGCGGGCAGGGCAGGGGGAGATGCACTAGGCGGGGAGATGCACTAGGCGGGGAGATGCACTAGGCGGGGAGATGCACTAGGCGGGGAGATGCACTAGGCGGGGAGATGCACTAGGCGGGGAGATGCACTAGGCGGGGAGATGCACTAGGCGGGGAGATGCACTAGGCGGGGAGATGCACTAGGCGGGGAGATGCACTAGGCGGGGAGATGCACTAGGCGGGGAGATGCACTAGGCGGGGAGATGCACTAGGCGGGGAGATGCACTAGGCGGGGAGATGCACTAGGCGGGGAGATGCACTAGGCGGGGAGATGCACTAGGCGGGGAGATGCACTAGGCGGGGAGATGCACTAGGCGGGGAGATGCACTAGGCGGGGAGTTGCACTAGGCGGGGAGATGCACTAGGCGGGGAGATGCACTAGGCGGGGAGATGCACTAGGCGGGGAGATGCACTAGGCGGGGAGATGCACTAGGCGGGGAGATGCACTAGGCGGGGAGATGCACTAGGCGGGGAGATGCACTAGGCGGGGAGATGCACTAGGCGGGGAGATGCACTAGGCGGGAGATGCACTAGGCGGGGAGATGCACTAGGGCGGGGAGATGCACTAGGCGGGGAGATGCACTAGGCGGGGAGATGCACTAGGGCGGGGAGATGCACTAGGCGGGGAGATGCACTAGGCGGGGAGATGCACTAGGCGGGGAGATGCACTAGGCGGGGAGTTGCACAAGGCGGGGAGATGCACTAGGCGGGGAGATGCACTAGGCGGGGAGATGCACAAGGCGGGGAGATGCACAAGGCGGGGAGTTGCACAAGGCGGGGAGATGCACTAGGCGGGGAGATGCACTAGGCGGGGAGATGCACAAGGCGGGGAGATGCACTAGGCGGGGAGTTGCACTAGGCGGGGAGATGCACTAGGCGGGGAATTGCACTAGGCGGGGAGATGCACTAGGCGGGGAGATGCACTAGGCGGGGAGTTGCACAAGGCGGGGAGATGCACTAGGCGGGGAGATGCACTAGGCGGGGAGATGCACAAGGCGGGGAGATGCACTAGGCGGGGAGATGCACTAGGCGGGGAGATGCACTAGGCGGGGAGATGCACTAGGCGGGGAGTTGCACTAGGCGGGGAGATGCACTAGGCGGGGAGATGCACTAGGCGGGGAGATGCACTAGGCGGGGAGATGCACTAGGCGGGGAGATGCACTAGGCGGGGAGATGCAGCTAGGCGGGGAGATGCACTAGGCGGGGGAATGCACTAGGCGGGGAGATGCACTAGGCGGGGAGATGCACTAGGCGGGGAGATGCACTAGGCGGGGAGATGCACTAGGCGGGGAGATGCACTAGGCGGGGAGATGCACTAGGCGGGGAGATGCACTAGGCGGGGGAGATGCACTAGGCGGGGAGATGCAACTTGCACTAGGCGGGGAGATGCACTAGGCGGGGAGATGCACTAGGCGGGGAGATGCACTAGGCGGTGGAGATGCACTAGGCAGGGTGAGATGCCACTAGGCGGGGAGGATGCACTAGGCGGGGAGATGCACTAGGCGGGGAGATGCACTAGCGGGGAGATGCACTAGGCGGGGAGATGCACTAGGCGGGGAGTTGCACAAGGCGGGGAGATGCACTAGGCGGGGGAGATGCACTATGGCGGGGGAGTTGCACTAGGCGGGGAGATGCACTAGGCGGGGGATTGCACTAGGCGGGGAGATGCACTAGGCGGGAGATGCACTAGGCGGGGAGTTGCACAAGGCGGGGAGGATGCACTAGGCGGGGAGATGCACTAGGCGGGGAGATGCACAAGGCGGGGAGATTGCACTAGGCGGGGAGATGCACTAGGCGGGGAGATGCACTAGGGCGGGGAGATGCACTAGGCGGTGGAGTTGCACAAGGCGGGGAGATGCACTAGGCGGGGAGAGTGCACTAGGCGGGAGTATGCACTAGGCGGGGAGATGCACTAGGCGGGGAGATGCACTAGGCGGGGAGATGCACTAGGCAGGGAGATGCACTAGGCGAGGGAGATGCACTAGGCGGGGAGATGCACTAGGCGGGGAGATGCACTAGGCGGGGAGATGCACTAGGCGGGAGATGCACTAGGCGGGGAGATGCACTAGGCGGGGAGATGCACTAGGCGGGGAGGATGCACTAGGCGGGGAGATGCACTAGGCGGGGAGTTGCACTAGGCGGGGAGTTGCACTAGGCGGGGGAGTTGCACTAGGCGGGGAGTTGCACTAGGCGGGGAGATGCACTAGGCGGGGAGATGCACTAGGCGGGGAGATGCACTAGGCGGGGAGATGCACTAGGCGGGAGATGCACTAGGCGGGGAGATGCACTAGGCGGGGGAGATGCACTAGGCCGGGGAGATGCCACTAGGCTGGGGAGATGCACTAGGCGGGGAGTTGCACAAGGCGGGGAGTATGCACTAGGCGGGGAGATGCACTAGGGCGGGGAGATGCACAAGGCGGGGAGATGCACAAGGCGGGAGTTGCACAAGGCGGGGAGATGCACTAGGCGGGGAGATGCACTAGGCGGGGGAGATGCACAAGGCGGGGAGATGCACTAGGCGGGGAGTTGCACTAGCGGGGAGATGCACTAGGCGGGGAATTGCACTAGGCGGGGGAGATGCACTAGGGCGGAGGAGATGCACTAGGCGGGGAGTTGCACAAGGCGGGGAGATGCACTAGGCGGGGAGATGCACTAGGCGGGGAGATTGCACAAGGCGGGGGAATGCACTAGGCGTGGGATATGCACTAGGCGGGGAGATGCACTAGGCGGGGAGATGCACTAGGCGGGGAGTTGCACTAGGCGGGGAGATGCACTAGGCGGGGAGATGCACTAGCGGGGAAGATTGCACTACTAGGCGGGGAGATGCAACTAGGCCGGGGAGATGCACTAGGAGGCGGGGAGATGCACTAGGCGGGGAGATGCACTAGGCGGGAGATGCACTAGGCGGGGAGATGCACTAGGCGGGAGATGCACTAGGCGGGGAGATGCACTAGGCGGGGAGATGCACTAGGCGGGGGGATGCAAATAGGCGGGGGAGATGCACTAGGCGGGGAGATGCACTAGGCGGGGAGTTATGCCTAGGCGGGGAGGAATGCACTAGGCGGGGAGATGCACTAGGCGGGGGAGATGCACTAGGCGGGGAGATGCACTAGGCGGGGAGATGCACTAGGCAGGGAGATGCACTAGGCGGGAGATGCACTAGGGGCGGGGAGATGCACTAAGGCGGGGGAGATGCACTAGGCGGGGAGATGCACTAGGCGGGGAGATGCACTAGGCGGGGAGATGCACTCAGGCGGGGGAGTTGCACAAGGCGGGGAGAATGCACTAGGCGGGGAGATGCACTAGGCGGGGAGTTGCACCTAGGCGGGGAGATGCACTAGGCGGGGAGTTGCACTAGGCGGGAGTTGCACTAGGCGGGGAGAGTGCACTAGGCGGGGAGATGCACTAGGCGGGGAAGGATTGCACTAGGCGGGGAGATGCACTAGGCGGGGAGATGCGGGATATGCACTAGGCGGGGAGATGCACTAGGCGGGGAGATGCACTAGGCGGGGAGATGCACTAGGCGGGGAGATGCACTAGGCGGGGAGATGCACTAGGCGGGGAGATTGCACTAAGGCGGGGAGTTGCACTAGGCGGGGAGATGCACTAGGCGGGGGGAATTGCACTAGGCGGAGGAGATGCACTAGGCGGGGAGATGCACTAGGCGGGGAGTTGCACTAGGCGGGGAGATGCACTAGGCGGGGAGGATGCACTAGGCGGGGAGATTGCACTAGGCGGGGAGATGCACTAGGCGGGGAGATGCCACTAGGCGGGGAGATGCACTAGGCGGGGAGATGGCACTAGGCGGGGAGATGCACTAGGCGGGGAGGATGCACTAGGGCGGGGAGATGCACTAGGCGGGGAGATGCACTAGGCGGGGAGATGCACTAGGCCCGGGGGGAGATGCACTAGGCGGGGAGATGCACTAGGCGGGGAGATGCACTAGGCGGGGAGATGCACTAGGCGGGGAGATGCACTAGGCGGGGGAGATGCACTAGGCGGGAGATGCACTAGGCGGGGAATGCACTAGCGGGTAGATGCACTAGGCGGGAGATGCACTAGGCGGAGATGCACTAGGCGGGGAGATGCACTAGGCGGGGAGATGCACTAGGCGGGGAGATGCACTAGGCGGGGAGATGCACTAGGCGGGGAGATGCACTAGGCGGGGAGATGCACTAGCGGGGAGATGCACTAGGCAGGGAGATGCACTAGGCGGGGAGTATGCACTAGGCGGGGAGATGCACTAGGCGGGGAGATGCACTAGGCGGGGAGATGCACTAGGCGGGGAGATGCACTAGGCGGGGAGTTGCACAAGGCGGGGAGATGCACTAGGCGGGGAGATGCACTAGGCGGGGAGTTGCACACTAGGCGGGGAGATGCACTAGGCGGGGAATTGCACTAGGCGGGGAGATGCACTAGGCGGGGAGATGCACTAGGCGGGGAGTTGCCACAAGGCGGGGAGATGCACTAGGCGGGGATATGCACTAGGCGGGGAGATGCACAAGGCGGGGAGATGCCACTAGGCGGGAGATGCACTAGGCGGGGAGATGCACTGGCGGGGAGATGCACTAGGCGGGGAGTTGCACAAGGCGGGGAGATGCACTAGGCGGGGAGATGCACTAGGCGGGGAGATGCACTAGGCGGGGAGATGCACTAGGCGGGAGATGCACTAGGCGGGAGATGCACTAGGCGGGGAGATGCACTAGGGCGGGAGAATGCACTAGTGCGGGGAGATGCACTAGGCGGGGAGATGCACTAGGCGGGGAGTATGCACTAGGCGGGGGAGTTCACAGGCGGGAGATGCACTAGGCGGGGAGATCTGCACTAGGCGGGGAGATGCACCAGGCGGGGAGATGCACAAGGCGGGGAGTTGCACAAGGCGGGGAGATGCACTAGGCGGGAGATGCACTAGGCGGGGAGATGCACAAGGCGGGAGATGCACTAGGCGGGAGTTTTGCCTAGGCGGGGAGATGCACTAGGCGGGGAATTGCACTAGGCGGGAGATGCA